GAGAGAATCCCAAGCAGGCTCTGCAGGGTCAGCACAGAGCCCGATGCGGGCCTTGATCTCACGAATGGTGAGATCACGACCTGAGCCCAAATCGAGAGTCCAACACTTAACTGACGGAGCCACCCAGAATGATCTCTTATTCTTTATTTCCTGTTTTTTTCCCCCTAAGATATATTTTTTTAAGTCCATGTAAAGTATGTACATGGGAAAAAGAGAATTAAACAATGAAATACGGTTTCCCTGACATCCTTGACTTCAGTCCCCATTTTTCCTCCCAGTGTCAGCCCTACTGACACTTTTTTTTGTGTGCCTATGTTTCCAGGCAGCCTGTATAGATCCTCTCTCTCCCTCCCTCTCTCTCTCCCTCTCCCTCTCCTTCTCCCTCTGTCTCTCTCTCTCTCTCTCTCACACCCTTTAACAAACATCAATGGCAGACACCGTTCCACTGTTGGTTTCTGCGGTTCCACTAACAACTGCACTTACGAATGTGTCTTTGAAGTTTCAAAGTAAGTATCAGTACCTACAAATCTACTTCTTTTGTTAAGCGCGGCTGCCTGGCATTTCATTACACGGGCGCGTCGTGCTCCTGGAATCTTTTGATGGGCATTTATGCAGTTTTCTGTCTTTTCCTCCTATAAACACCTTGATAGGTAGATATTTGCAGCCATCTCCAACCACTTCTACATGGTAAAATTCATAAAAATAAACTCGTTCAACCGAAGAACACGTGGATTTTAAATTTTAGTTTATGTTACATTTAAAAAATCTTAAGATCAAATTTTCTAAAAGGGGCTATGCTCCAGCTTACAACTTCCCTAACAAGATACAAGATACGGGCGCTTCTGTTTCCCATACGCACAGCCAAAGTTTTTTTTCGATATTTACCCATTTGTTAGCTAAAAAAAAAAAAACAAAAACAAAAAACTGGCATTGTATTTTGATTTGCATCTCTTTCATTGTGTGTGTGTGGCTATTGAAAAGCCTTTGGTGTTTCTTTTGCTGTGAACTGTTTTTCTGCATCTTTCACTAGTTTTCCTATTGGTTCTTTTGTCTTATTCTTCAATTATTTGTATGATTTCTTTTTTTTTAAGTTTATTTATTTTGAAAGAGAGAGAGAGAGCAAGCAGGGATGGTGCAGAGAGAGGAGAGAGAGAATCCCAAACAGGCTCCATGCAGCCCTGATGCAGGGCTTGAACTCACGGACCGCGACACTTAACCGCCTGAGCCACCCAGGCACTCCTGGTTCTTGATGTATTAAGATATGGAGGCTTTTGGATCAAATGTGTTGCAAGTGTTTTATCTAGTGTGTTGGTTATTCCCTCGTTGTTACTGTATGTATTTTTAATTAATAGACTTTGTCTGAGCAGTTTTAGGCTTACAGGAAAATCGGATGGGAAGTATGCAGTTCCCATACACCCACTCACCCCCCTTCCTCACCTACCACGGTTTCTCCTATGGTTAACATCTTGCACAGGTGTGGTATGCACTATATTTTTAGTTCTGCATATATTTTCGTGCAATAGGATGTATGAATCTCCTATTTAATGGCTTCTGGATTTCATGCCTTGCTTAGGACCTCCTTTGAGACTATGAAATAATTCTAAGAGCTTGTTGTAGTTTTTTTTTTTTT